ACAGGGATGGCTGCACACACAGGACACATGGAAGGCAGCACATAGGAGCAGGCAGATGGGACACTGGGTACCCAGGACACCCAACATCCCTAGCACCAGGCATATGGGACACATGGCACAGGGAGGAGGACAGCACACAGGAGACCCAGACACCAGAGAAAGGTGCCCATGGCCCCAGGCATGTGGAGCACTGGGCATGGGTGGTACAAGTGACACAGGACACCTGGGACCAGGCTGATGGGACACTGCATGGCCAGCAGCAGGCACTCATGGCCCCAGCTGCAACGTGGGACTCTGGGGACAGGAGCACATGGGACTCCACAACACACATCACACCCCAGGTGTGACAAAGCACCAGCCACACCAACACAGGGACAAGGGACAGTGTGTGCAAGAGGCACCACGTGCACCAACCCCAGCCCCTGACATGCCACCACCAGGCCCAAGGGGCAGAGCAGGCCCAGAGCAGCCACAGCAGGTACCACATGGGTTCTCCAAAGGAATAGTCAGTGGGATGTGGATGGGCAGCAAGAGCCTGAAAACAGCTCTAGTTTGGTGTCACGTCTAGCTGGAGAGCAGCCAGGAAAGCTGGCCCTGGAGTCACTGTCACTTCCCATTTGTTCCCTACATGACTCTGAGCTTGGACTTTGGACTCTGGCACCGTGACAGAGCCCGGAAATGCCACCTCCCCATTCCACATGGCTCCTCCTGAACCAAATGATCAGCTGAAGTGACTGTGCAGGATATCAAGAGCAACAAGGGGAAAAGAAGGAGGAAATTCACCCCAAATCAGCAATTCCTGGTGATTCATCCCGATTTTAGGGGTTTTAGGGACTGACTGGGGTCTCCACCTTGGGAAAGGTAAGTGCAAACCTCTCCATGCAGGCTACCACTGAGACCTTCATTCCAACCCCTCTCTCAAGGCCTTTCCTTTTACAAAGGAAAAGGAAATAGCCCAAAGCTTCCCAACAAATCCCTCTGGAGAAGTTGCACTTGGCAGAGAAAACCCATCATCCAAATCTGCACTCCCAGTCTCCATCTTTATTAGTTACAGTTTCAGAGGGGGTAGATACAGTTTTTGCTTCTAGATCTTGTTGAAAGCAGCAATGTCAACACTCTGCACCTGAAAGGGAATAAAAGCAGCAGCTTAGAAGTCATCAACATGGTTTCAGGCATTAATAAAGCTCCTGCAACAGGGATTCCTTCACGACATGCACTAGTGATGCTCAAACAGGTCAAAAGCACAGCCCAGGTCTCTTAGATCAGCTCCCAGCTGTGGGAAGATGTTTAAAGGAGTGTTACTTGAATGTTCTTAGTAACACCAGTCACAACAGGATGCTGTGCTGGGTACTGCAGGAATCCAATTTAGATGGTCCAGCCTATGAAGAACCAAGTTTCTGGAAACACGAAGATTAAAGAGCAGAAGTTCCTGATTTACTCTAAATATAAGGAAAAGAGCAGGCAAAGATTAATAAAACCAGGTATCTGGCATGAAGTGCTCTCAACATAGAATCAACCAGGTTGGAAAAGACCTTTAAGATCATCAAGTCCAACCAGGACTGCCAAGACCACTGCTGAACATGTCACTAAAAGAGAGACTAAGTTGTACTGAGCCAATGGGATGAGGTTCAACAAGGCAAAGAGTCAGGTCCTGCATTTGGGTCACAACAACCCCCTGCAACGCTCCAGGCTTGGGGCAGAGTGACTGGAAACTGCTCATGGGAAAGGCCCTGAGGGTGCTGGTTGATGGGAGCTGAAAATGAGCAGCTTCTGCCCAGGCAGCCAAGAAGCCCCCAGCATCCTGGCCTGTCCCAGCCCCAGTGTGGCAGACGGGCCAC